CTGCAGGCTCTCTTCTTGATGGACTCCGAGAAAGGCCACGGCATGGCGGCGGCGCGCCGGGGGCCCCGGGGTCGGGCGGCGGGACGGGACTGGGGCCGGGCAGAGAGCAGAGGTGCGAGGGAGGCGAGCAGGAGCCGCCGGGCCCGGCCTCGCCCCTCGGCGCGGGCTACCGCGGGGGTTCCGCTTCCAGGCGGCGCCCCGCCGCCCCTCACGGCCCGGCGGGGCGGCACTGCCCGCCCTCAGGGCGAAGAGACGCTGACAGGCGGCTCCATCCTCACTCGGACACCGCCGCCATCTTTTCGGCGGCCGCGGGCGCGGAGGGGACCCTGAAGCCGCGCTGTGCGGAGCGGGGAAGGGGCCGCGGTCCGGCGGCCGGACGAGCAGCGCCCTCCGTGTCAGCTCTGCAGCGCCGGCGAGGGCGGCCGGGCCGATCGGGGCTGTTTGTCTCCTGTCGCCCGGCTCCCCCCGCCGCCAGCGGCTCCGTGACGTGCGGGAAGTGGCGTCGGGAGCGGAGGAGGCGGGGGCGGAAGCAGCCGCGGAGGGGGTGGCGGGGCCGGGGGAGTCGCGCCGGCAGTGGCGCCGGGGCCGCTAGGGCCGCCAGGGCGGGGAGCGGCCCGGGAAGCGGCGGAGCGGGCGCTGCGCTACGCGGGGCGGAGCGGAGCGGAGCGGCGGGTGCGTCCAGAGCCGAGCGGGGTCGGGCGGCGGGGCCTCGGCCGCCCGCCGGCGCTGGTGGGTGCGCTCCGGGGCGCGGTCCGTGTGCGCGGGAGGCTGCGCGGGTCGGTGTCCAGCTCCCCGGTTGCTTTCAGCCTCTTGGGAATTTGTTTGTAGGTCCGAGGTGGGGTTTGGCAGGAAGTGATGGATCTCGTGCAGTGACTGTCTGACGTGTTGCGGATCGGTGATTGGCAGCCCCCGTTCCCTCCTGGCTGCAGGGCTCAGCTACCAGAGCTCTCGGGACAGCGTCCCAGGGGGCTCTTTCCCTGCTGCTTGAGGCAGGTTCCCTATGGGTGTCCGCTGAGGCCTCACGGCCACATTGGTACCTGAGAGGCCACTGCGGTAACCGCTGGGTCTGACCTTTCTTGGTACCACTTGCCCACAAGGAGCAGAAGCTCATGTCTCTGAAATGTATCGACAGCTGTGCATAAAAGATGACCAAGAGCATTAGTCTTTAGTGACTGTAAACAAAAAGCTCCCGTTAATGTCTTTTTAGTCACCGATAACCCATTTAGGTCACAGTCTTTTTAAAGTCTTCCTTAAATTCACCAGCAGTAGGTTTTTATTTTCTACTGCTATTGACTTCAATTTTTTGAGGCATGACTTGTCTTCCTCCTGCATTCTGGATCAGCAAAGGGCAGAATTAATGACTGCTGAATCATAACACTCTTATACAACAGAATGCGGGTTAACTTGCTTAAGAAAAACTAACTTCAGAGAAACTGATATCACCTCTATATGCTCATGTAACCTTCTTCAGCACTTGTCCTCAACATCTTGGTTTTGAATTCTCTAGGCTGTCATTGAGATTTCATATGTCTGCTTAAAATGTATCTTGTGTTTTATGACCTTAATATATATTGAGTGTAATGGTGTAATAAATCTCAAATAAATGTTTCCATGTGCAGAATGGAGACTGATTGCAATCCTATGGAGTTGCCCAATAATACAGGATTTGAAGAGGATTCTGATTATACAGACTTTGAAGGAACAGAAGTGAAAGATATGAGACTTGAAGCTGAAGCTGTTGTGAATGATGTTTTGTTCGCTGTCAGCAACATGTTTGTCTCAAAAACCCTTCCCTGTGCAGAGGATGTGGCATATATCAATGTGGAAACCAGAGAAAGGAACAGGTACTGCCTGGAGCTCACTGAAGCAGGACTCAGGGTAAACTAATTTATTTATAATTTCTTAAGCTTTGTTTTGAACAATGAACATGTTCAAAAGGTGCCTAGAAAAATACTTCACTGACACCAAAAAAGCATAGATATTGCTCTTATACTTTTATGAAGCCTGTTCTACATGTTTTCTCCTAGAAGAGAGTACTTTAACTAGTTACTTCCAACAAAGCAAGAGGGGGTATTAATGAATAACCAGGCATTTATTTGAGACACTAAATGATGAAGATTGAAGCAGAAATTTATTATAGTTGTGTCAATCTTTGGTTTTCTTGGGTACCCAAAGCAGTCAATAATGCCGCATCCATACAATTCCTTTTTGCACCATTTGTATTTTTTGTGCAAATGTGTGGACATGAGACTTCTTTTCAAAAACCATAATCATATATTTTGCTAATATTCTGAGTTTTGGACAAAAGTTATTTGAAATTGTCTTACATACTGTATTACTATTAAGCTCCGTAGTATAAAGCACAGACTGCGATTTAAATCCGGTATCTCTTGTTCTCGCATTACTGTACTACCCTGACTGACAAAGTTAAATGTTGTGATACTAGTTGCAAGGTGATCGTAACCACAGAAATTTAACTACCCATTTCTTTGTTGCAGGTAGTAGCTTATGATTTTGATCAGACTGATGACAGACTGCAAACTCCATACCATGAAACTGTCTACTCCTTATTGGACACTCTCAGCCCTGCATATCGAGAGGTGTTTGGAAATGCATTACTACAAAGACTAGAAGCTTTGAAGAAAGAAAGTCAGTCATGATTTAACCACATATGAGGAAGGTTTAGTGCCAGAAAGAATTCTTGGTATGAAGCACTTAGATCTTCCTTACAGACATCTTCAGCTTCATTTCTTGCATTAAGGTCTAATTCATACTAGTATATTATTATATAACATCTATATGTTATAACAAGTATACTATATAACGTTTTGTTACCGTGGATTTGCATATGTCACAATACTATTAAAAACTACTTTGATAAATAACATAAAAAATTCTCAATTTTAGTTTTAGTTGTAAGTGAGCAAGTAAGTTGCATCTTACAACGTTCAAAAACTTTGGTCTTTTCAAGGTGTTACTGTTCAAAACTAAAAAAAAATAGAGACTGAATGTTATATATACAAGTAGTAATTTTTTGTGTGTGTGCTTACTGAAAATTTTCATATCTGCTTTTTGAAATAGAAGCTTACTACTTGCTGTACCTGATTAATGGAAAAAATAGTTGGGAAAACTACTGTTCTGCGAAGAATTTCAGCTTGATTTGCTGTACATAAATCCGAAAATTCTCAGCTCTGGTAACAAGAAAGATAGTTCTTTGACAGTTGAACGTTGCTTGTATAGTGGCAGTATCTGAGTTAAAAGCAAGGCTCAGCATGAATTGATCTGCCCTTGTCTATGGCAACCAGCAAGCTCCAAATAATACACGAGATATACTACTAATATATGAATGTATTTTCTGAATCACAAATGATTAAGCACAGAATTAATGGGCTACATATTTCCTAAAGATGATGTTATATATGCTATATATATGTACATGTATGCTATATTGCATCTGTTTGGGAGGCTTGGAAGGCATTTTAGCCTGTTTACTATTTTGAATGTGTGTTTACATGATGTACAGGATATACCCAAGAATATTTTTGCTTCAGCCTTTACTTTCTATAATACGGTACTTTGGTACTCTCAATTTTCACATTTTCTCCCTCAATTGTACAGCGTCCTCTCCTAATGAATACTAAGTAAGCACTGTAATGATGATTGCATTGTATTGGTTTGAAACCAAAGGCTGTATGAAATTTGCTAGGACTAATACAAACTGGAAGATATAACTTGTATTTTCTACTTAAAAACTGGTACACTTCCCTTTATAAATCTATTGTTGCTATAACTTTTCAAGTACGTACTGAATTGTAGACTTTTTAAAAATTACAATTGGGTAGAAATGCCTGTGCAGTTGAAATGATGTTCTGTGATGTTCATACTTTTTGTATTCTTCTATTATTCCATATTTGTGTATCTTTATTTAAACAATCCTGCTGTTATTCTTCTATGCTTATATGACAAGTACATGCAGTAGCTTTTTTGGAGCCACATTTAGGGGTATATCAGTTCTCACAGATTCCAGTGACTTCAGTAGAGCTATATTGACTTCTACCTGCTATGGGTTAGTCATATGGATCAGAGAATCCTAGTAGACCTTTTGTAATGGCTTTGGGTTAGCGATGTACAACTGTGACTGAAAAGTCAACTGTAATTTTTGCTTCTGTTTTCAAGAGCTTAATTTTGTGATTATTATCTTTTTGTGTTGAAACTTCTGATACTCATCCTCTGCCCTAGGGTATGCTTCTGTGCTCCAAAAATTGTTCATAGGCTCTTTTTTGCACACAGGTCTGTGGCACGTGGTTAGTCCTCTGTGAGGAGAATGTACTTTAGCAAATTTATATTTGAATATTTTTCCTTGCAACTAATTTACTTGTTCAATTTCAATGACTAAAGAATTAAACAAATGCACCAGTGTGTTGTAGTTTTCTTGTGGGTGGTGGAGCTACAGGAAAGGGAGGAGTGAACAGCTGAAGTCATCATGCCCTTAGAAAAATCTTAAATATCAAATAGTTGTCAAATATTTGGAAAACGTTGGCTGCAAACTTGTATCTGCTGAAATTTTGTCCTGAAAAAACAAGGTAGGTGATTGTAAAGAGGGATTTGGAAAGGGAGTTAGAAATCCAAGTGGAAAAACGCCAAACTAAATGTTGCACTGCTAAGTTTTGTTTTGGAGGTTTTTTCTGGAGAGGGTTGACATCTTTAGACTGCTTTGTCATTTTGTGTGCTTTTTATAATACTTTCAAAACAGGCATTTTGTAGGTGTTAACAGAAGAAACTTGTGTTGTTTCTTAAAACGCGTTGCAGTGTTAACCCAGAAGTGGGACAGCCATCTCATTCCACCGTGTCTGGGTTAGTGAAGATGACTGAAAAGGCTTTTTTGTCGCTGTCCTTGGGCGCTGCTGCCTCTGTGAAGGGAGCTTCCCTCAGCCAGTTGTCTCCCCTGCCCGGGCCCCTCAGTCGGTGCCACTGCGCAGCCGCCGCCGGTCGCGCGGCAACGGGCCGCGTCCCCGGGGCCGCCTGTGGCGATGGCGGCGGGGCCGCCGCAGGGCCGCCGCGTCTTCCTCAACCACCTCGACTCCTACTGCGGCCGCACCATCGGCGAGGTGACCGCGAGGCCGGCCCGCCGCTGCTCCCGCCCGCGGCTTCTTGGTGCCTGAGGAGTCCACTGCCCTCCCCCCCGCCCTCGGCCGGTAGCGCCGCAGGAGCCGCGACTGGTCCCCGAGGAGCTCGACTGGGCGGGCAGCTGGGTCACCCAAAGTAGCTGCTGAGGAGAGGGACCGGGGCAAGAAGGGGTTAAGATAACGAGGATTAAAAATAGTCGTTAAGAGTAGGAGGTGTGAGCAGAGCCGGTCGGGAGAGCTCAGGTAGCAGCTGTTCGCTGTTGGGGGAGCTAACTAGAGATGACTAACAACCCTCTAAGGGAGCCCCTGCCTGAGAGGAGCCGGGTGCGGAGCAGAGGCATCCAGGGACTCGCCAGCACCTTCGGCATTGAGGCGTAGGACACAAGTGAAGACAAAACATTGCAACCGAGGCTGAGCAGTCCCTAGCGTTTTCCTGCTCAAAGGGAAGCTATGTCCTGAACCGCTTTACCAACAGCAGGATCAGGGCTAGACAGACCGTGCTGGTGTCTTCTCGAGATCACGAGAAGCTGTGTAGAGCTCGGTAGATATTTGCATACAAATCGTGTGTCTTGTATATTTGCAGTATTTGTCCAGCTGTGTTGTTGGGGCGACGCTTGCAAAGGAAGAAGAGGAAGAGGAGGAAGATGAAGAAGAAGAGGAAGCTGTTGAGGTTCCTAGTAGCCCAGAGGAAGTCTATGAAATAGTGGGTACTCTTTCTAAACCAGGGGGTACAAAACCACGTTTTGCCCAGGAAACATATGCAGTAAGTAGGAGTTTTATTTCAGATTGCCATTAGAGAGCATTAGAAATATTGCAAGTCATGTAAAATGACCTGCACCAATGAAATGGTCCTTTGTTCCTGCTGGAAGCTGTATATGTCTATTATTCCTTCTACTTCCTGCACACTCTCCATTTTCCTCTCTTCTAGGTCTGATACAGCAAATAGTAAAAGGAAGGAACTCAGACTCAAAATAGATTTTTTAAAAAGTTATGGACAGGATATCATCCCTCTTGATGATTCATAGATCTGCTTTCTTTTTCCCTCCAAGTGTATTTCTCATCTTTGTGTCTTTTATCACCATTTTAAAGGCAGTGGTGCTGGAATCAAAGTGTCCCTCTTAACTGTTCACTGAAATTACAGCTTTCACTAGCAGCTAATTGTGCTGAAAACATACATCTTACTATGAAGAGGTGTATGTCCAGAGTTTAGTTAACTAAAGGAGGCTTACTTTTGAGGACATGGTTGCTTATTGCTTGATTAGAATTGTCTCTGTTTCAAACTGCTTACTACAAATTATTCTTCTTATTGTTGAAGTATCTCGTCAAACATTTTAAGTTTTGATTCAAATGTCCATACAGCTGAGCTGTTCAATCAGGAAATTATGGCTGGCAGTATTTAATTTTGACCACTGCTTTTGCCCAAAGTGTTTGTTGGGCTTGCTCAAGTAATACAGACAATCTTCACTTAACAAAAATTACAGGATGCTATTTTGCAGGGAAATGAACATTTTTTTATGTTTTCTTCCTTCTGCCAACTGATACATGTTTAAAATACCTGTACAAGTAATGGATATTTTTTGATATTCACAGTTGCACTAAAGATATGGATCCTAAAATACCATTAAATGTCTATATTTTTAAACTATGTTGATGTGTACTCTAAATTAGAAGTCTCACCATTTAATTTACATTTCATCAGCTTCCTTGTATCTGACAGATAACATTTGATAACTGTCTTATGAATTATTCCAACACTGTAGTGTTAGAAAACAACATTCTACCAGAAACTTAAACTTGAAAAGGATTTTTTTTTTTTTTTCATGACAGAATGTAACTATTTTTCCCTCAGGTCTCTCCTGGAGATGAACTCTTAAATCACTTGCTTGCATGTGAGGTTGTTTTATATAATATCACTGAGGATGCAGGTCAAATTGAGGAAGCAACGTGGGCTGCTTCTGGTTAGTATAGCTATCAACTGAATAGAAATTTGATTGCTGTACAGCCATCAAAATTTGCCAGAAATGTAATGAAATTATGAGGGATTTATAGTTCACTGTAATATAAAACTGGGTTCCTTGATGGAGAAATGCTGTGTGAATTGTTTGATTAAATAGCAAGGAACCGTGGAACGCCCTCTCATGTTTAGAAAGGAGAGAAGCTGTCCTGGTATGGTCCAACTCTTTAAATGACACATCTGTGTAGGCAGTTATTTCCCTAAATAACTGTCAACCATCGTCTCATCTAGTTGCATTGGGAGGTGGGTAGAAAATTTGCTCCTGTGATATTAAAAGAATGTTTGAATATTTTATATAATGATTTCGAGTATATTTTGACTTAAAAGTCCAGTAAAGAAGTACTGCTATCAGTCTTTTGGAAACTTTCTCCCGATCGTTACATCCAGATTCTATTAAGCACCTGGAATCCTTTTATGGTGACAGTGCAATATTATTCTTTATATGATAGCTATATGTGGTGTGTTTGGACAAGAGAATCATTTACATAACAAACAATTATTTTGTTTGATATTAAAATAAGGAAACTTTGCTTGCATTCAGTAGCTCTTTTTTTTTCTATCATGAAAAACATACACTTTTATTTCCTTTCAGTATCTCAGCAGTCAATAAAGATGAATCATTTCCTAGTATAGATTGTTTGGATTTTTTCCCCATAATATGTAGCTCTGTGAAGATTATGTTCCCAATATTTTGATTCTTTATTACCATTACTTCTCTTTCTTGTCATTCCTGATTTATTATCTTTATGTTATATTAACTTAAATAAAGAGCATTTGCTTAAAAATACATATCACATAGACCATTAAGATATGAATGTCTATGCAGGACCTTTATATAAATGCAACAATACAGTTTGAATAATGCAGTTTAAAATAAATTAAGTCCTTGCTTTCATTTAACAGCCTTACATAAGGAAATAGAGAATTTTGTAAGACCAAAGTTATTCATCCTCATCTCAACAATAATGACCTGGGCAAATACGAAACCCTCTGACCCTGTAAGTAATATCAAAACAATAAACTTTTTTAAACCAAATATTGCCATTTAATGGAAAATATTCGTCAAAATCAATTAAACAGTCTATTTCAGGTATGTACTTCAATGATAGCTAATAAAGTTAAAGTTGGCAAGTGAGGGGTGTTTTTAGGATTCTTTCACCCTGAATCATTGCTTACTGCCAAAATTGTTAAATGTATTCCACTGACAGAGAAGTTTAGGCATTGGGCTACAATGATACAGAAAGACATAAGGAGCTGCTTGGGCAAGAGGTAAGACCTATGCTAACCACAATATGCACAATCCTTCAGTCATTTAAAAAAATCCCATATTTGCTATATATTTAATAAAATACATATTTTAAACAGTGTATAGACAGATAAATAGACACATCTTTATATCTATATATGTTAACTATTGTCAGGAATCATGCTAGGCACTTTGGAGTACGCTGTTGCAATTCTCAAATTCAGTGTTACAGAAATAGAGTTTTCCAACCTTGTGTAATGCTATATGTAATAAAAAATTCATGTTTTTTAAAATATAAAAAAAGTTAAAAATCTTCTACTGTGAAAACACCAAGGTTGTGTGTTCAATCCCCATATGGGTCACTCACAAGAATTGGACTTGATGATCCTTGTAGGTCTCTTTCAACTCAGAATATTCTGTGAAATATGTGAAAATTGAAATTGAATTAATGATGTTTTCAAAATGTTGAACCTCAAGCATCAGATTCAGAAACTTTAAGAATTTCAAATGAAAACCAAGCTAGAACAGATTTTAAAAATACTTTTAAAGAACTTACTTTAACCACCTAGGCCTTTAAAAATTGTTCTAAGAAATGTATAACAGTCACATTTTTTTTCTTCAAAGGAAAATCCTGAGGCTCCTTTTACTGAAGAAGATTATCGCAAAAGAAAATCTCATCCAAACTTTATGGATCACATAAATGCTGAAAAACTCATTGTGAAACTTGGAAAAACTGTATGTAAAGAATGTATTTATAAAAATAAATAATTTTGTCTTCTTACTTATAGCTTTATCTTACAATAATTTGAATAAATTTTAAGAATGTGTTATTCTCTTTATAAAAATTGATTATATCAATAATTAATAAAATATTGTAGTATAGAAAATACTAGAATGCCTTTTGAAACCTAAGTGTATGCATGATATAAATCCCAAATTCTGTCTTTTTTTCCTTAGTGAGTAAATCAAGCTTATCTCATCTAAAAAAGATACTGTTTCTTTGGCTGTATCAGAGAGAATCAAAGCTGGGGCCTGTGTGGGGAAAGACTTGAGGATTAAAGACAGTGGAGGAAAGGGATATCAGTACAGCTTTAAAGAAAAGCAGCATCTTTAAATATTAACAAGCTATGTTAGTGTTATGTCTCATTTAAATACTCAAAAGATGTTCTGGCCACACCTAGCATGTTCCTGGATAGTTTGTGCTCTTGGAGCAGAGGGCTTATTGACTTTTATTCCACCCTATAATTCACTTTAAAATCATATCCATAGAGCTGACGCAGAATAACTAAAATATATGTTACCACTTCATAAGTGTTTTAAAATCCCTTCTTTCAGTTTTTTTGTTTTGATCTGATTAGATTATTAATCTTGCTAGAGAGCAGACCATGCTTTTTGTATTTAGAGAACTTTGTTTTTCAGAACTATTACTAAATAAATACCAACAGTGGCTCACATTATGCTTCACAATTCAAGAAAATGCATGTTGTTATCATTAGTGATGGAGTACTGTGGAGGGTAGGAGGACAGTGAAATACACTGTGTGATGAAGATGTCATTTGGTCATTCTTTACATGTGTTAGCAGTCTCACATAATCAATATGATTCAGTGTCTATTGCAGAAATTTGTCAGGCTAATAATAGAGGGGGAAAAAACTTTGCTCTGATTTGAGTATACACTTACCATCTTATGCCCTGCTGAGAAAATAGCACTAGACATTATATTCTTTGTTAACATGGATCTAATAGTATAGTATACCAGTAAAATTTGGTTTGCAGCTTGAAAAATCATGTGGTGGTGAATTGGGGTTTTTTTGACTATGCTAACATGGAGTTATAAGACCATGGAATAACTTTCACACTTGTGATGTTAGAAACATGAAGATGGTAAATGTCCATCAAACCTTGGAATAACTTCTGCTACAACTAACACCCAGATGAACTGTTGACTCTACTTTCCTGACTAGTCCAAAGCACTGAGTCACTGCATAACAAAAGCATTACTATAATTAATATTAGCTTCTAAATGTTTGTGAGGCTGAACATCTGTTAAGGAGACAGTGGAACAATATGTAGCTGTACATTATAAAAGCACCTTGAATATTTTCAATACATACCTGCTGTAGGCCTTTCAAAAGGAGCCCTTCTCCTCCAGAACTCCAGGGTCAGCATCAATGGGTATCAGTGCCCCTGGGTGGTTTGTGCCACCACTTTGGAACAAGAAGGCTCCAAAGCATCTGTTCTTCCCAGGAGATCAACATTATCTTCTTGTAATGGCTGAAGACTTCTGGATTACTGTTCTTACTCATTTCTAAACTCAGTGGCATCTGGAGAATGTACCATCAGTGAAAGAAATTACAGTGTAACCACTGCCCACAAAGAGGGGGATTCAACATCGAGATTCATCAGTCTTGTCAGTCAGGTAGAGAAGACTTTGGCACCAAGAATAGAAGGGTTTCTTAGCCTTGGTGTCTGTTCAGAGTGCAATTTAATGGCTGTTGTTGCTCAAAGGAAGATTTCACCCATCTGTGTTAGTGCATCTCCCACCTATTTTTTGATCAAAATTCAGTAAGAGTTGTGAGCTAGAAGTCTTTGCTTACCTCTAGGAATTTTTTACCTTTGTGGCAGGGCTTGCAGGCTGTGTAGCTTCTTTCAGAAGTTGCTGACTCTGGGTTCCTGCCAAATTCAGAATCTTTGGAGAAATATCTGTCTACCACAAACAGAAAAGCTCTTCATCTCCCAGCTCTGTTCTCATAATTCCCGAATCCATTAATTTAGACCTGTTTCCCACTTCACACAAAACAAGCACAGCTTGGAATGGATGATTCCAGCTAGAATGTGACATCTAGCGGCTTTGATGAATATTACATGGAAACGTGACACTTTACCTGGGACTAAACATGCTGAGTGGAACTGGAGCTTGCCTAAGAATTGCCTCATTTTTAAAATTAACTATATCCAACCAACTTCAAGTAGTACCTTCTCATATGTGTGACTTATGACAATAAGTAAGTATTGTTAGAGGACTTCAACCTATTTTAGAGGTTTATATATCAGTGAAGTATAGCGCTTGGTGCCAAATTTTTTCATCTCCACAAGTGTCAGAAGTTAGCACAAGGTACAGAGAAGAAAATCCTGTGTTCCATTCTTTTTAGGGGAAATGAGAAATAGCACCTCCTGTGCTTTCACAAGAAGCAGGTTTTTTCTGCTAGGAGATGAACATTACTACTCATCTTCTGGGGCATGTTTGCAGAGCAACCCTGGGAGCTGCTGCTCTTAGGGTTCAAACAGTATCTATCATGGTACTACCCAAGCAAACTTGGTATGTGTTAAGATCTGATTATTGAGAGATGCCTCTCCTTGAATTGGGGTTCAAATGAGAACATATGCTAGAGTCAATAACATGGTTTTACTTAACAGTGGATGTGAGGTAGAGAGATAGAAAGAAAAAGAGAGGAGAGGGACAGAGAGATCAAGGAGAAGATACTTGTCATCCATGGATCCAATGGTGTCCTGCTGGTCCTTCCTCACCTTGGGCTTCTCAGTGATAGGGGTCCCAAAGCTGTTCAAAACTTTTCACATTTTAGCAAACAAAGAAATTAATGCTCATTGGCTACACCGTTCTCTTATTCTATTGGTTAAATTCCCTCACTTCCAATTCTAATTAGTCCCATGCCCAGTCTTTCTCTGGTGGGTTTCTTTGTTAGGTGGCCATGAGCTGGTTGTGACCTCCCCCTGATGGAATTACCTTTTACCCAGCTGGAGCGGATATCAGCACAGTTGCTGAGTTGGCTTTCCTTGTGGCCGTTAAATTCTGTATTCTTTGTGTCCTTTTTCAGTGACACATTCTTCTCCCCAGGCTTTGCTAACCTCCCCCTAGGTCTGAGATAACACCCAGACAATAGTACCACTTCTATCTTATCTCAAGTTCCCGCTGTGGTGGCTTAATTTACAGCCCAAGTTCCAGGTATCCACAGAGACATATTTGGAGGGGCTTTGATGGTCATTGGTGGTCGCTGATGCCATCTATCCCATAACTTGGGGTGATCTTTGTTTGATACATGCATGAGCAGTTTCTTTTTTACACAGTTTGCCACAGTGGGAATTTTTGTCCAGATGCATTAACCAGATCTGACCTCAACCAGGCTGGGAGTTAGTGCCGTCCTGTCCTTCCCTTCTGTGATTAGCTCATGGCAAAGTCCTTCTGTGGCCTTAACAGTACTTGAGACAGGCAACTGTGCTCTTTAAATCCTTACAGTGTGGAAGGTCTCATGCTACCTGTAATGTCTTCTAATTTTAGTGTTTCTTGTGATTAATAACAAGCTGTTGAATTCAACTGAGTTGAGGTAGTTTTTATTACGAAGTTTTACATTGTAAGTAGATTAGATAAAAACACATATACAGATAAAATACACTGATGTTACAACTTGTCATCACTTTATATGATGTTTTGCTTATTAAAGATTGACTAAGACTTTCCTTATTTTTATGTTTCTTAAATATTACAAAAATAACAAAAGGTTCATTTTTCACCAAAAAAATCTAGATCACAAATCTCTGCATTTATTCCCACTGCTGGTAAAGGCAAGTTCTTTTACATGGAAATTTATAATGTCTAGGATCTTTACAACATGAGAATTATTCAATAATGCTGTTTTATCTTAAAAATTTCAAAGATTCCTTGAAAGTTTTTCTTCTTTAGATGATTTAAAAATCTTTTTTTTTCTCTGTAAAACCCTCCTCACCATTGATCCAAGCAGTAACATGTATGTCCAAGTACACAGGTAAATTTATGGTGCTACACAATAACGGTCAGAAAAAATATGTGGGTTAATCATGATGTGTGGTTAGGAAAACATTAAAATAGTTCACAGATCTATTTTTTTTAATTGTGTATCAAAATGAAGGTAAAGACATTGTAAAATCGTTAACCCAGTCTTTCCCACTCCTTTAGGCAGATAAATGCAAATATAATGCAATTGAAAAAATAGCTTCAGTGAATTTCAGAGTTATTTCTTCTTGAAAATAGAAAATTGAAACATGAGTTATCCCGTTCATTTATTTGATTTACATAACTTCCAATTCTTTTAATTCTTAAATTGTTTTAGAATTTACATTCAAATGTAAACAGATCAATTCTAATTGAGCAGTGGGTTGTTTTTTTTAAATAATAAACTGCAGGATATGCAACAATTGATCTAGTTACAAACTTTGAGTGATATAGTTAATACACCTTGTATATTTAGTACACAAGTAATCAAGTTTCAGTGTAAGCCTGTATCCCAACTGCAGTACCAGATTTTAATAAAAACTTTCTTGCTGATTTTACTTCACAGAACAGAAATAAATTTTCAACTTGTGTTGTTGCCTCAGGACATCAATATGGAGCTGAGGAAGGAGTCTTCCACTATCTTTTTAAGGTAGACATCCAACTATACTTGAAGAATCATTTAATTTCTAGAGGTAAACTGAACTAGAATTAAATGTATCTTTAGCAGCTTTGGTATCATAAGCTTAATACTTTCATGAGCAGAACTGATTATTTGAAATATTCTAGCTACAGTGAAAGTGGTTTTCACCTCTTTGGCTCTATTTTTTTTTAGATTTTTCTATCTTTTCTGACAGTATCTCCATATGTACTTTACAGTGAAAACATGTCTGTCATATCAATGGAATCCAGAAAAATGTCTTTCTTCTCAACACTACAGTCTCTTTTTTCCCCTGAGTATTTGTCTTTTGGAGGATACAAAATGATATTTTTCAAGATGAAAGAATATTCTTTAAAAAAAAAGACTTCTTGCTTTCAGTAGGCTACCAATCAGTATTTCTCAAAAATTGGGTTTTTTTTCTGCAGTTTCATTAATCACTCAATAAACTGAACTTTAAATCCTGAATTTATAGATTTCCCTAGTAAAGAAATGCTCCTTTTTTAGCTCTAGTTAAAAGTAACCTTTTTCTCCTCACTTCACTCTCTGTATTTTCAGATGTGTTGGCTTAGTGAGACTCCTGAAATACCTGTTTTTGGAGATGGAAAGAATTTTATTCCAACCATTCATATTCTTGACTTAGCAGTGTAAGTGGAAAAAGTTCCCCGGGGCAACAACCGATACCAGCTAAATCACAAATCCAAATCTACAAGAGAGTACTGAGGCTTTTAAACTGGGTGGGTTGGTTTAAGGTCACTCTTTGCCCCTTTTTGCTGGATCAAACAGAGCTTCTTTAGTACTAAATGTGCCTTCTGGAAACCTTACATGACTCTTGCACTGGTGCTGCGCTTTTAAGAAATGATGAGCCTTACTCGACCTAGAGTGTGATACCAGTTAACTGGCACAGAACTGGAAATGGATTGTGGACTCTATAGCAGGCTAAGATAATACCTTCTACAGATGTTGCTTTTTATCCTTTCAACTTCTTTCTAAATAAAATATCCAACTGTGCTTTATTAAGTAAAATATATATGAAAATGTCATGCTCTGAAATGTTCTGCAAGAATTTATAGCCTCCTGGTAGTGTTCCTGAAATTTATTTAACAGAAAAAGCCAAATATGTTTCTGTAAGTGCCAGCCCTGGCCATACTTGCTGTGTTTCAGAGTGTTGCAAAATGTAGCAGACCACAGACCAGAAGTTCAGTATATACTTGCAGTGGATACATCCAAGCACACACTTGAAGAACTAGTAAAGGTAAGAGATTTGAGAAAGGTACGAGATTTTTAATCCTTTTTTTTTCTTAAGAACTTAAGGACTTCATAAAACTTTTCTGTGATTTTTGGTTGTTTCTTTCTTTGTTTTATTTTTTTATTGCAGGTACTAAAGATAAAGTGTTATATAGCAAACAAAAGCTATTTAATGCTAACATTAAAGTTAATATACTGTTCTTAGATCTATTTCAAATCAGTACCCTGATTTTTTAGGTACAGTGAAACATAAAATTTAAAGCACACATTTTATTCACACAAATCCTGTTGAATTTTTTTCTAAGAATCTGATTTGTTAAATGTTTTTTGTTTTGTTTGTCTTTTGTTTTGATTTTTTTCTTTTTTTTGATAGTGTATCAGTAAAAATGTTGGACCAGGAAACATTCAGAAGATTCCTAAAGAAGATGCATTCCTGAGCAAAGATTTAACAGTCAGTACTTTTCTTTCTTTTATTACTTCAGGAAAATATGTAAGCTTAAAGTAAAATGTCATTAAATATGTAATTTCTTTTTTTATTTCACCAGAAAAATTTAGTTACAAAATATGCCCAAAAATGTATAATTTAAATTTAGAAAATAAACAAAGAAAAATTTAACCATCATAGAACAGACTACTTTAAGGAGTTACAGTCTGATTTAAAAAAAAAAAAAAAAACAAAACAAAAAACAAAAAACAAACAAACAAAAAAAAAACCCCAAAAAAACCAAAAAAACCCCAAACACTGAAGCACTGATGTTGCTGCTCCCCTTAGCATACTGGAGCACTCTGACAAAACCTACACCTAATGATAAAAATAGCAAAAAAAAAAGTTAATAATAAAGTGCTGCTAAAGGTGATGAACACAGCATACATAAATTATGTTGTGTTCATCTCCTACTTCATAGGAGAAATGAACAAATTACAATCCAAGTAGTTTTAAGATGGCATTTGATAAATTTATGAAAGAAGTGATTCCTTGCAATTACATGAAACCTTTACATTGTACAGAATAATTACTTAGTGTTTCATGTTCTAATAGTTCATGAGAACACTCAAATACAACTATACACTGAAAAATAATACTTTTAAAAATCTTAAAATATCTATTTTGCTCTATATGTAAATTTTCTTTCCCTATGATTTAGTTCTTTGTATTGTCCCTGTTCATTCTGGTTTCTGGCTTCAGCTAACTGTTCTTTTAACATGCATAGCTTAAGTCTGTAAATAAGTGTAGCTCTATTCCTCAGCAAATGCATTTAGATATGTTGCTTGTGAACCTGCAAATGGAATCTAGTGTTCTGAAAGATGCTTTCAACATTAACTGGGTTGCTGAGGCAGGACTGATAGAGAACATTGAACAAGTTGTCAAGGAATACAAGCAAAGTCGAGGATTACAGGTAATGCTTTGTTGTATACTATTTTAAAGTGCATCTTTCTTTTTCCCCAATAGAAATGGTTATATAAACACAGGCTTTAATTTGTTTAACGAAAAATACATAGAAAACTGACATAGATGCAAATTAAGTGAACATAAAACCCAAAAATGAAATTGTAGAAGTTAAATGAGGCAATATTAATTAAAACAACAATGATTAAGTTTTATTTCTTTTATGCCTAAAACTGAAATTCTGTTAATGCAAATTAGCTTAATGATGGAGAAGCTGATGTTCTGAAGGTAGTTTATTTATGCAATGGTGCTCTCAGTATATTTTGCTTCAAGAATACAATAAGTGTATCTTTTATTTAAGCTTTTTTATAATAGTCAATAGTTAGGTGAGTATTTTGTGTCCTTCTTTATATTTAGTGAGTCAGGATATTCAGTTGCAGTGTACCCTTCATTTTACCCTGCTCTGTTGTGTAATTTACTGGACAACTTTGCTGTTTCCTATGTTAGCTTGATATTTAGAACTCCTGTATTCAACTGTACAGGGAGGCTTATTGAAAAGTGCAGAAAAATGCTTGTATACATTTGAATATTGATTGGTATGTTAAGGCTGTTCAGCCTTATCTAAATCTTGTTCAGACTTCAAGTAAGAGTTCAGGGCATGTAAAACAAAATACGGCTACTATTGTTCAAGGTTGTTCATTAAAGTCCCTGCATAGCTCTGAAAGGATTATCAGATCTGTGTTTGGGTTAAACCACTGAATCTGAGTACATACACATCCAATTAAAAAAAAATCAGTACAAAATACAGACCTACCAAGTAACAAAGAGAAGGAAGGCTCTCTAGACTGTCTCTGTTGCTACTCTTAAATTTTCGAGTGTGTGCTGTCAGATTTACTAAAGTAAGAGAGGCTGTTAATTATGTAGGATTTTGAGTTTGTTGCATAACATGTTTAATAAGTGTATACTGGAATCTTAATTAAATTTACTCATCCTCAGGCTGGTTGGCTGAAATGAGAAATCATTAATATCTTCAGAGTGTGATGGGTCTGAAATTTTTGAGGTGCAAATAATCATTGTGATGACAGCAAATCTACCACAGTTGGGAAATAGAACTATCGCACATTTATAATATAATATCTACCACCTCATTCCAAAATTCACTGCATCCTATCTGTGGGATTGTTTTTCATCTCTTTGGATTATTCAAACACTAATTAGCCACGTTGATCTTTTAGTCTACTGAATAGAAGCCTGCTTTCTCTCCAGCAGTAAGATTCTACATCTAAGTAACTGTGTTACTCAGAGTCTGTGGGTGATATAGGAGATATTCAGTGAGAAATAAATAAATTGATAGAACCAAAATATATTTTCAGTTTTAATTATAAATGATTTAGTTATATTAAAAAGATCATCTCTTTTACATAAAAACATCTGTATTGTTTGAATGATGTCATATCTTCATCTTTTTTTTTCCAGCCTCTCAAAGTTTACATTCATGGTCCTCCTGCTGTTGGCAAATCTACCATTGCTCAGGAGCTCTGCAAACATTATAGGCTACATTACATTAAGATAGATGATGTGATTTCTGAAAAAATTGCACATCTGGTGCGTTGCTGTTTTCTAATGTTCCTATTATTTTAATTTCTGTGATTTTAAAGTGTTTGATATCATTTCAAATTAGTTATAACCCCATTATTTTAGAATGGAAATATCTTTTTACATACTGATTGCTTCTGGAGGTTGCACTGAACTCTTTTTAGAGGCTCAGTATCTCACTGTCCAAGAGAGACATGAAAGGAATTGTTTAATTTTTGTTTATTTTTTTGCATCTGCATATAAAATAAGTCAGCTGTGGAATTTCTGAGCCTATTGATATTTCTGTTCTTGTCATCAGGAGAAAATTGTGGCTAAAGAACAGGACACTGGAGTAGAGGAGGGGGAAGATGAGGTAGAGGAGCAAGGTGAAAACGTAGAAGCAGCACTGGAATTATTAGATGGAATAAAAGAAAACATGGAGCTGAATAAAGGTAGGAAATACAAAATTATAGTTACTGTAGTAAAGACAACTACTGCAACCCTATGCAAATGGAAAATCAGAAAATAAATTTGTGCTCTAGAACTTTTACTTCCTATTAAAAGCAAAAATAACGTCCTTTCCATTTGTATGTACCTTATTTAAAAATAAAATACAGTGTTTTACATTATACATTAATGTGGTGGTTTGACTCTGGCTGAATGCCAGGTGCTCACCAAGGCTGCTCTGTCACTCTCCTCCTCAACTGGACAGGGTGAGAGAAAATATAATGAAAGATCCCACGAGTTGAGATAAGGACAGGGAGGGAACACTCACTCATTATTGTCATGGGCAAAACTCAGCTTGGGGAAATTACTTAATTTCATTACCAATCAAAATCAGAGCAGGATGATGAGAAGTAAAACAAATCTTAAAAATACCTTCCTCCCACCCTCCCTTCTCTCCCGTATTTAACTTTAATCCCAGTTCTCTGTCTCCTCTCCCAAGCAGCACAGGGAGATGCAAATGGGGGTTGTGGTCAGTTCACCATATGTTGTTTCTGCTGCTGCTCCCTCCCTGGGGAGAGGAGTCCTACCCCTGCTCCAGCGTGGTGTCCCTCTCACAGGCAGCAGTTCCTCTGTGAACCTCTCCATCGTGGGGCCTCCCCCTGGGCTACATGCTACAGATCCAGCATGGGCCCCTTCCAAGAGGTGCAGCCCTTCAAGAACAGGCTGCTCCATCATGGGTTTCCCATGGAATCTCAAGTCCTACCAGCAAACCTGCTCTAGCATGGGTTCCTTTCTCCATGGGTCCACAGGTCCTGCCAGGAGCCTGCTCCAGGATGGGCTTCCCATGCAGTCACAACCTTCTTTTGGGCATCCACCTACTCCCTGTGGGCCTCGTCCATGGGCTGCACGTGGGTCTCTGCCCCCCCCCTGTGGATCTCCATGGTCTGCAGGGTGACTCTCTCACCATGGTCTTCACCACAGGCTGCAGGTGGATCTTTGCTTTGGCACCTGGAGCACTTCCCTCCCCTTTTCTTCACTGTCCTGAGAGTCTGCAGGGCTCTCACAGGTTCTCATGTCTCTCTTCTCTGGCCAAATTTAACTTCTATGCAATGACTTTTTCTCTTCTTAAATATGTTCTCACAGAGGTGTTACTACCATCTCTGCTTGACTTCCTTGGCCAGTGCCAGCTCTGTCCTGGAGCCGACTGGCATTGGCTCTGTTGTACACGGGAGAAGCTTCTACCAGCTTCTCAGAAAAGCCAACCCTGTAACGACCCTGGCTACCAAAACCTAGTCATTCAAATCCAATGCAATTATATACCTTGTCTATTAAAAACAATACATATCTTAAATACTTTGGTGCATCTTTCTACTTCAGATTTTTTTGATAACATTATGTTTTCATCTCAGAGCAGAGAGCATAATTTATATAATATAAAATAGAAGGTTGGTGAAGTGTATGTTTACCAATCTTGCAAAAATAAAAGTATTCTAGTAAAAAGGAGCATTAGTGCACAGTCATATGAGATTTTGGATGGGATATAAGTACCTTATACATCATTAGAAAGTAAATTGTGTTTACTGAAGCTGGGAAAGAATTCTAAAGTCTGCAGATTGAAAAAGGTCCGTAAAATTACCATTATTGAAAAGTGTTAGTTATCATCTATATGTGAACAAAGTCATGTTGTTTTTGACTCAGTGCTTAAGGTTTTCCATGTTGTATAAAGTGATCCCTAGTAAAAATGCATTCTATCACTAAAGGTTTACCTGATTTGGATCTTGTGTTTGCTAAGCAAGGAACTTGTAACACACCCAGAAGCTTCAGTAATGAGATCTATGGCAGTATCTCTTCTACATGCTTTGATTTGTTACTTAAAATAATAATGACTTTTAGAATACTAACATACTTCTATGGTTACAAATATCTAAGACTTTTAATAGCCAAAAAAAATAAAGTAGGAAGCTAGAGTAAATGTTTACAAAAGGACAAAAACTCAGGTCAAACCAAACTTTTCACTTCCACATATTTTCTCAACAGTATAGGACAAATTAATAAACCAATTCATATTTCAATCTATTCATCTGAAAATGAAACTAGTAAAGTCAATCTCACTTCTTTTTTGCTGTTAAATGTAAAAAGAAAATTATTGCTTTGTCTCATGTTTTTTTCTATAAGTACTTCTTTACTGCTTCTATTAAAATCTGATTGTATTATCCTAAATAAAACTAATTTCATGTTTAGTATTCTTGAAGTTCTAATATTTATATCCCTGTAAACACAAATGTGATTTTATAGCTACATATTCATATTCCATAAATCATTGTCAACACATAATATACAAATTGTAACCCAAAATATATAACTTTTTTAGGGTCTAAGTAGAAATTTCTCTGATAAATGAATTTGAATGTTAGTAAAATAATTTCAGATACTTTGATTATATAAACCAGGTACCTCTTAAACTTTTTTGTCTTAGGTCGTCTAGATGATCAGTTTATTGTTACAATTGTGAAGGATAAGCTCAAGTCTATGCCCTGTAAGAATCAGGGATATGTTTTAGATGGGTTCCCAGTGACCTACAGTCAGGCCATGGAACTTTTTAGCGGTAAGTACTGCTGCTTTTGCTTTAGTTACTGCCTTTGGTTTTATTGCTACTAATATTGTCATTATTGTTATTGTTCTCAGTACCATACTAATTGAATTGTATCAGCACTGTAATGACTGTGATGCAGGATACAAACCAAAGTTGTTTACACATGATTGTTAGAACACAAGAAAGATTGTAATCCACTTTATTTAATTTATGCACAAGACAGTTTTCAGGTTCTCCTTCCCAGCAGAGTAATAAGTAATTGCACAAACATGGAAGATATTTTCATGCTTTGTGTTAGTCTATTCTCCTTAAGCAAGCTCTATAGCAGAATTTCTTCATAATATTTAAGGGCCACTGAATGAGGGGATCCAGCCAGTGCATCAATACATATTTTGTGAGCCAGATTAGAGTGGGTTTATTAGATCAGCTACAGTAGATATGACTTCGGAGAAGCTCTGCAACACACCTTTCAAATTGAGAGCAGGCACCATCCATACATTAAGACCAAGATTAAGAGTTATCTTCATATTTAAATTACAACATGAGGTTTGAGGGAAAAGAAAAACCAGTCTTGTTCATCTTAGTATGCTGTTCTGCAAGTGGTCATGTTCAGCTGATGCTCTTCAGGCAGTTTTACTGACTATTCAGAACAGCATATATTAAGCAGCAGAAAACATTTTAAACATACAACTGTAAACCACTTCTACTCACTGTTCTGAGCCTTGTCTCTGTTTTTGGCAGAATAATGTACTTAGCAAGGGCAGAGCCCAAAGACAGGATGGCAGTTTTGTAGTTGAACACGTTCTAAAATGGTGTATGCATGTACATACTACTGCTGTGTAGGTAAAACAGTTACTGGTAGAATTCTGTGGTGGCTGGAAACATAAATTACTTACTGAGTTCTCTAAACTGGTTTAAGAGTAGATTGATTTCCAGCTATTAGTATAATCAGGATATAGACAAACCTGTGTTTGTACTGGACACATTTTTAGCAAATATAGTGATATTGTTGCTTCAAATGAAAATATTGATAATTTCTTACTTTGTTTTAGCGGAAGATGATGATGAAGAAGAAGAAATAAAAAGCAAAATACCTAAATGTCATAAAATAATCACACCTGGTAAGTTTGATGGACTTCTTTTTAAATAAACTGAGGAGATTTGAAATACTACTGCCACCAACGAGAAGTCTAAAATATCACTCCATCTGTTCCTATTGAAGTTGACTTAAATATCTATTTCATGTAATGTCACTGCCTTCTTATTTGAAAGAGAACAATTAATCGCAGAATCATTTAGATTGGAAAAAACCACTAAGAACATCAAGTCCAACTGTTAACCCAGCACTGTTAAGTCCGTCACTAAACCCTGTCCCTAAGTGCCACATCTTCCTATCCCTTAGATACGTTCAGGCATGGTGACTCAACCACTTCTCTAGACAGCCTGTTCCAATGCTTGACAGCCCTTTTGGTGAATAAATTTTTCTTAATTGAAAGGAAGGGTTTGGTTTGGTTTGTGGATATTTTATTCTTTTTCTTCTTTTTCCTTTTTTTTTTTTTTCTGAAAATGCCATCAACTGTTGGCTGATAATAATATGTTCTTCTTCACAGAATTTGTTTTTTCTTTGACTGCATCTGATGAATTCCTTATAAACAGAGTAACAAATCTGCCAGAGAGTGTCGTTGCTGGGACTCATTATACCCAGGACAGGTTCCCACAATCTCTGAAACTCTTCCGAGATTCAAACACAGATGATACGACAGTTCTCAACTATTTTGATGAACTCGAAATACATCCTCAGTTTATTGGTATGAAATAATAGAATTAGTAGGTAAAATATATAAAAAAAATTTTGTTGTTACAAATTTAACACTTGCAAAAATCATATAATAACTGTACATATATAGAAAATGCTTTTATTAATATTGCAGATTGCACATACAACAAACATGTAATTATATAACCTGCAAAAAATGTTCTTGTAAAGTTAGCTTGTTTTTGAAAACTGGGGGTTTAGTTATTTATTTTTGTAGGCTAAATTATTAGAGTAATTTTATGACTTAGGTTACAGACCTCTGCTCTTGTGTCCTTCCACATAGGTGTAATAGTACATTTTCATGGACTTTCAATATTATAGTTGCTTATATTTTTTTTAGACTTATCCTTAGATGCCATTGTTGTTCACAAAAAACAAATTCGTTACCTGATGTGCAACAAGCCAATAATTACACACTCAAGAGACACTGAGTTGCACAAGCCTGGGTTCTCAGTAGTATTCCACAAATCAAACACTCTAACTACCAAAACTTTTTACTATTTATACATTTTAGCAAACAAAGGAATTAGTATTCATAGGCTAAAACTTACATAGTTCTCTTATTAATCAGTATTCTGTCTTCTATTGGTTAATGAGTCTCTCACTTATGCTAATTACTCCACATGCTCAGTCTCTCCTCTTTTGAGCTGATGGGTTTCTTGGGTCAGTGGGCTGTGAGTGAATGGTCATGATCTCCCCCTGCTGGAATTACCTTTTACCTAGTTGGAGCTGATGTAAGTACAATTACTAGGTCGGCTTTATTAGTTTCTTCCTCATCTTGGGAGTTCTGCCAGATGTCCTTGTGGCCCACGAATTTTGCATTCTTTGTGTCCTCTATCAGTGGTACAACCTTCTCCCCAAGCTTTGTTGTGTCTGAGATTGAAACATGTCCAGCCCTAAAACATAACAAGGCAATTCCACCAATAAGTAATTTGTCTTTCTAACACATAGACATCACTTGCATCTTGCTTGTGAGCGGCTCTCTGTTTCACAGATTAAATCTCCCTTCTTGTTGATTACACTTGAAAGTATACAAAGATCAAACATCAAAGAACATCCTTTCTCAAGAAAATTTTCACTGTAGAATTTAAGTAATTCTACAATGGAAAGTAAATGCAAGAAGTGGTAAATATTAAGGTCTGATGCCATCAATTGGTCACCTTTTTAGCCTATATACTTCTGGATATGCAAGTAATGGCGCTGTCCAAGACCAAATTTTATTTTGGTAGGGATTATAAAATGTATAATCTGATAAAATATTGCACTGTTTTCTGCTAAGAATTATGCCTAAAAATTATTCTTAAACTCTAGTCCATTCCAAATATGCAAACTCACCTGCCTACTGATTTTAACTATTGAGGTATCACAGCTGTGATGTTTCAGATGATTTTCACATTCAGTTTACAGTATTAATTCGCATTTCCAAATGAGCATCATCTTTAGGTCCTGTTTGTCTCAGAACCATCTCCTTACCTATGTTCATATTACTGGTTGTTACCCACTGAAGTATGCAAACATATTGCTTCTGCTGAAAAATGGTAAGGACAGATTACAAAGACAGCCACTGAGGAACCTTTGGCTCAGCCCATACTCTCCGTTCTAGCTGACATTCCAGTTGGATTATGAGATGCATAGAATTAAGTAGCATTGGATTTATTCAGAGAGCCAACTGCTTTCTCAGTCGTATTCTGAAGAAGGGGTTAAAAATTGTGTTTGGTTTGTTAAATATTGACTCAGTAAGTTTTCTTCTACCTTAATTTTAGAAAATCATAACATATGGTTTTACATATCATTTTTATGATTATTATCTTTTTCTGAGTCTGAAATATGATTAGTACCAAGGAGTAGGCTTTAAGATTCTGTAAACCTTACTTTGCTACAATGAATCACTGCAGAAGGCTGCAAGTTGGTTATCTTGTATCTTGTTTTCCTCATCTGCAAGTCTGGGATGGTGACACAGGCATATTAGATATTCTAAAGAAAGGCATGTTAAAGTTATAACAGCAATTTCCTTTGAAGACCTTGATTTGCTAACTCCTTTTCTGGTGTTTTTTCCTCTCCATTAACATCAGTGCTAACTTAATCTTTCATTTAAAAGGCATTTATTTTTGACCATAAATGTAGTTAATTATGATTGCTGTAATATGTTCATTGTATTCTTCTGTTGCCAAGAAAAAACATGCAGCCTTTGAGACCTCAAATTCAATGCTGGTATTAGCAATATTATAAGTGATTAGAAAAGTGATTTTCATTGTAATTTGTATATCCAGGTGCAGTTAAAATTGTGGAAACATTGGACTGCTTGTCATAGCAAATTTATTATTTCTTTAATTTGAAATCCTTCAGGAATGCAATTCCTGATTTTTTGAAAGAAGAAGCTGTAAAGGAATTTTATCATTTAGAATTATGTGAGCTTTCTCCTCAATTCATGGGAAGAGTTAGGACTTCGGGTCCAAATCACAAACACTTCAACTATTGAGAGAACGGTGTTAGTATTTGATAGCTGTCTTCTGCCTGAATCGGTGATCAGAAAGAACCGGGAAGAACGCTTTGCCAATAACTTTCCAAATAACTTCCTAAAGCAGAGAACTGTGAAGCAGGGACTACTGAATTCTCATCTAAATTCTATATTCTAGTTGTTTGTCTTTTTCCCTTTGTCTGCTTCCTCTTCTTGTCCATTTCTGTTCTTTTACATCTTTCTCTTCTTGCCTCTGAACCAGCCCTTTATCTCTGTATTCTCTACCTCAAATGCCCACTCTTCTCATTCCCCTGTACATTTCTGTACCTTTTCTGCCTTCCCATACTGGAACTAGAAATCTCCGGAGAAAGTCTTCATTCTTCCATAGTTTTTCTTTTCCTTCATCCTTGTCAAGTTTAATGTGCAAGTAACCTCCAGAAATTAAAAGGGAGAAGGAATAGAATGAAAGAAGTCTTGCTCAGTCTCTATGTTCCTACCTGAAGCTACAGATTTGATTTGTAAGTATAACATAGTTATACTAGGTGGACTAGAGATAGGTCTGTATATTTGTAAGTTTATATGAGTGAAAACTTTGGAGTTTGTGCCTAACAACCTATCCTGTAGCCTTTTATGCATCTGGATAAACTGACACAAGATTGGTATCAGGAACATCTCTGATAGTTGATTGAGCTCATTTGCATGTTTCAAAACCTGGGCAAGCTGCAACTAATAAATGACAGTTATAAAAATTATTTTAATACATTTTTTCCTTACATCATCTTAAAATGCAAATTATTTTAGCTGAAACTAGTAAAGAAAATCAGATTTAGAAAGCTTCAGTCTGTGTAGCAAAAAATTGACGCTTACAAGCAACTGAAAACAATGTCTTATATCTGAAAATTCAAACAACGTGAACACCATATATTTTTAGGTCCTGCAGTTATTTACTAATAGCCACTGATAATTGACAAAACCCTTGAAATGCTTTCTCTTGTATTGTTTAAAAGATGTACCCATATATGAAGATCCTGAGAACAGATTTATTGTGCAAAAGATCATCAAAGAAATTGGAGAACCTCGGAATTATGGCTTGACAGATGAAGAAAAGGAGATTTTGGAACGCAAAGCAGCCGAGGAACGCCTTGCCAAAGAAGCTCAAGAAAAAGCTGAACAAGAACGTAAAGAAGCTGAGGAACACGCTGAAAGGATGGCAAGATTGGAAGAGTGGGTAGGTTAACACATATTTTTGGAAAACCACTATTATTTGTATGTTTAAATGACTTCAAGAAATCTTCATGTAAATACACTTGAGAAGTATGGCATAAATTCTCTTGTGTCTTATATCATACTTTAGATCTGGGGAAGACTATCTTCACATTTTGGAGCCCATCCTACAGAATATAGTCTCTTTTTTATTACAGATGTAGCATTTTTTTGCATGTCTTTAAAATACTTCTATGGTGCTCTTGTTGGTGGTGCTGTACTCTAGTTCTTACATTTTACCACTTGTAAATATCTACTATAATCAATGGTAATTTTCCATATCAAGTCTTCTAGGACTTTTGCATTTTGCTCATTTTACTTCCAAGCAGCTGACCAAGTCTTAATTATCAAACTAAATTTTTAATTTAACATGATCAACATTCCAATCTCTGCTGCAGAAAGGTTTCTGAGCCTGCAAGAATATGTGTAAGAGCTGAGTCCTCAGTTCAATAAAGACTACCTGATGCAGTCTGAAGGATGATTTTTGTTGGCTAATAATGTGATAAGTACTTGGCATTCAGGCTACCTGAGCTCATATGATTTGCACATGATGCTTTTTCCTTGTTTACTTTGCCACACCGACATTTTAGGTAAATAACCTGAAGTGCATGCTGTAAGAATGTTCTCCTTCACACCCAAAGTCAGGTTGTTCCCCCAGAAGGCAGATGTATTGTCTTCTTTTAGAGCTATTTAAAACCAAACTGACCATTCCACAGATAAGTCCTTTTCTTATATTCGAATGTCCATACACATCTATGGGGAAATAATACACTGAAATTACTCACTTCTAAGGGAGTATTTACATTCCTCTGATGTTGGCTTGTAAACAAGGATTTTTTTGTTATCTCTGTGCTTATTTACAGCTTCATTCAACATTAAATAGCATTTTGTGCTCTGTAAAATATTTAGGGATAGTTAACACACTTTTAGCTAAAATCAATCCAAAGGCATCTACCTTTAAAAGAGGGAACACTGCATTACTCAAAGCTAAACCAGGTGTTTATATAAAATGTGTGCTTAAGATTATCCTTCTAAATAGGCAGATGTTCAGGAATGTAAGCAACTGTTCATTTGACATTGAGACTGTAGATTAGCTGCTGTCTCTGAGTAGTGACCAAAGACACTTGCAAGATTTATTCAATAGCACTCCTGGATTGGGTGAATAAGGTATTTTATTTTACACATATACTATTATATGTATTTTATTATTATATATTCTCTGAGGTGATCAGTGATAGGACCCAAAGGAATGGCCTGATGTTGTGTCAGAGGAGGTTTAGCCTGGATATTAGAAAAAAGTTCTTCACCCAGAGGCTGGTTGAGCACTGGAACCAGCTCCCCAGGTCACAGCACCAAGCCTGATACAATTCCAGAAGCGTTTGGACAATACTCTCAGGCACGTGGTGTCATACTTGGGGATGGTCCTGTGCAGGGCTCAGTTGGACTTGATGATCCTTGTGGGTCCCTTCCAACTTGGCATATTCTGTGATTCTGTGATTAGTGTATCAGTTTTATCTGAACATTGCTTTTGTATTATGCCTTGCATATAGAAAAGCAGTCTTCAGAGTATCATCTGTTTGCTGTATCAATTTACATCAGGCTACTGATGAATAAAATGAGAGAAGAGAGGACAATAAAGATGAGTTGCAATAATCTTTGCCTAAAGCTACTGCAAATATGCATGCTACTAAGTGCTCCTGAATAGAAGAAAGAAAAATTTGCAGCAGTTTTATTTCCTCACTCCTCCTATTTTTTGAGTGTAATAATTGTATTTGATTTAACCTGAATTTGGGAATAAATTTAGCTGGCGTAAACAAATGTAAATCATGGTGGGTTTATTCTAACTCTCAAATCCCTCAAAACCATCAATGAAGTAAAAATAAAACAAAACAAAGAAACCAAACACAACACAATTTACCATTTTAGTATTTAGAGAGCCAGGGCTCTCTTCTGAGTAAAAATACTCTCTTTTCTCTCCAGTTCAAAGAACTCTCAAGAAACTATCTGCATTTGCAATAGTACTATTTTTTGAAGTGCTGCTGTGTATTCCAACCATTCTGCTAAATACCATATGGAAATAGGACCATTGGAAGACTTCAGAATAAACCTCCTTTTAGGTGTTAAAGAAGAGAAATAAAATAATTTTACTAAGGAGGTTACTTCAGTGGTCATCATGTTCAATTCTTTATCCTCAGAGTGTCATGTGCTCTATATTTAATAACAGTTGATATTTTTTCCTGTCAAGTTGTGTTTTAAAGTTCTGCCACAGCTTCTAACACTAATTTTTTTCCTCTAAGCCATAATCATTATGTAGACAAGTGCTATTTGGTAGATGTTGTAAGTCTTATTATTTATGATTTTTTTCTTTCACTACTTTTAGAATAAACAGATGGAGGAAGTGAAAAGACAAGAACAAGAGTTATTGGAGGCCCAGTCCATTCCACTACGAAACTATTTAATGAAGAATGTCATGCCAACACTTATGCAAGGGATAAATGAATGCTGTAGGATCAGGCCAGAAGATCCGGTCAATTTTCTGGTAAGGTGATTATCTTTTATTTCTTAAATATATTTCAATATTCATCTAGACCCAAAGGACTAACATAAGGACTTAAATTCTTTTTCCCCAGTGTCATAATAACAAACTAATTAATAACTAGTATCTGCAATTCTGGTGAACAGCAATTATAGTGAAAATTAAAATGCAGCAACTACTCTTTGTGGGTTCGGTTGATACTGTGTATCAAGTAAGGGCATAATCCAGTTTAGTGAAACAGTAATAGGGCAAAAATCACTATTAGAATCTGCTTCCCTTTGGTAGGTGCAGTGCACATCTTATGCACCCTGACAATTCTGCTGTGACATAGGAAGCCTGCAAGTTAAAGAAACTTTTGACACTAGGCTCTCATCTCCATTAGGTTCATTGGCACAAATCAGTTATGATATTTGGTAGCTTGAGCCAGGTGCCACAAAAGAAATTCCAGGGCAATTACACCCTTACAGTCTACACTCCCCATCCCTCACAGGACAGTCTGGACTAACAGACATGTAAGGGACTGGGGTCTTATTGCTCTCCATTGTTTTGCTGTTTGGTTACCAACTGGTTGTTAAGTGATCCCCTTCACACCCCCTTAGGTGGGTTTCAGAGACAGTTTCCATCTGTTCTGTAGTCCGTGCTGTACTATGGTTGTTACAGTTCATATGCCACAATCTATGGGCTGTCCTCTCCAGCTATTAATTTTTAAGCAATTTTTAGGGTGCAGCTTTGTCTATTCTGACTATTATTAATGTTCATATTGTTAGCACCAGGTTTTACTGTGATCCATCTTTGACTTACACAACATAATCGTATGGTTCAGATAAAGTTCAACTTGTGTGCTAACAGTTCTAGCTGCTTATGTCTACTTTCAAATGATATAAAATTTGTAACCCTTCAGAAAGGGGGACGTGACTCTCCATCCACCCCTCTAGGCCCAACCAAACATATTGTTGTAATGGCGAACGCAAGCTCTGTGGTAATTCCCTTCACAGTACAGAGACAAATTAATGAGAAAATCTCTTAGGACATTCATAGAATAATTCCAATTGCAAATCACCTCAGGAACTTATCCATTTCAACTTTCGGCTGAAAGCAGGGTCAGCATTGCATTCAGACAGTAATTCAGGTGCTATAAAGTTATTGCTGTGCTGCTGTTCCCCTGCACATCCTAGCCAAGTTATTAACAAGCTGAAACAGAGCATTTTATTAACAGAGCAAAAGTTAAAGATGAAAGCAACAGTGTTGCAATGCCAATGTTCAGGCTCTAAGGAGTGTTTTCCTACTTTAACTATTTTTCGAGTGACAATTACCTGTAGCTATATGAGCATGAGATCTTCCCTAATGACTGCCTAGGTTTCAAGAATCAGTATCATCTGCTCTTCTGGGTCCAGAAATCAGGCACTACGGTATTCCCTAGGCTTTCCCATGGAGTGACAAATACTGTTATAAATGGCTCACTTTCTTCTCTTGCCCATGACAGAAATGGGGTGACTGCTACCAGGAGGGAGAATGAGGTCAATGGCATTTTGGGTGGTATTTGTAGGAAAGAGATTTCTTTGACATAACTGCCAGAAATTGCATTTCAGAGCCATATAATACTTTCTGCAATTTTTTTAAGCAATGTTTTTCACTATATCTTTGTCATTTTGCATACATTTCAAAGTTGGAGATATAAAAATAATTGTAACTTTGAAACTCTTCTGTTTATAGGCAGAATATCTCTTCAAGAACAGTCCCGATATTGATTGGAATAATCGTTAAATCCTAGCAGCAATGGGAATTCTGAAATAAAAATGCAGAAAATTCCTAATACATTTTAGATAAAAATACTTAGTTTCTGAAATTATTTTTGGTTAGGCTTATTATGTAATCTTCTTTTTTATTTCTCATACTTTATTACTACGTTGTATTGGGTTTTTAATATTTCTTTTACAAAAGTTTCATTTACTGCACATATTGATTAATCCATTTACACATCTGTATTTCATAGGTCTGTTTGAAAATGTGAACCATAAGAATCTGTTATCTCTTCAAAACCTTCCTCCTGGGTTTGTTTTCAGATGTACATTCTATTTAAGCAATATATTATTTTCCTAATCTATAGTGATTGTAAGCAGCCAGCTTGAAAAAAACTATTATTAAAAAAAAAAAAGGTGTTTCTACTGAAAATGGAAATAAAAAAAAATAAATAGAAGCAGCAAGTTCTCTTATTTCCCCTCCTGGCTACCAAGAGGCAGAAAGTCACACAATATAGTCTTCTCATGCTGCACTGAAGACTGACTTGTAAACAGTTTCCAAGCACAGGTATGCCAAAAAACCTGTGTTTTACTTTGGTATCCAACATACAGGGCTAGTTCTCATTTAATTATCCTCAACATTCGATATTACATGTTTTTTATAGATTCTTGAAGAATATAGACTTTACAGCTTGTGGCTGTCATTCCCAATTTTATTGACTTCATCCAGCTCTTGCAGAAACAATTTCTATGCTGACTGAGCTGAAACTGATAGCACCCGTGGGGTCAGAAGACAAGGACCCTTTGGGAGAAATGGGGGGGGGGGGAAGAGGAAGAACTGAAAGAATGGTGATATAGAAACACCTATTTTATCTGTAACTTTTAGTATCAGAATTTTTAGAATGCCCAATGTTCTTATTCAGATATATTAATATTTTTACACACTATGAGTCTTATTTCATCTGTTTTCACACAGTCACACAGATAAATCAGTGACGATAGCCAGGAACAAAGTTCAGAACCATCCTCTCCTACTCTAAAGAAACAGATTTTTTTGCGATCTATATATTTTATATACTGGCAGCTCAGATTACCATTTATCGTGTGAGGCAGTTGAAGATGAAATAATCGGTAGTTTCAGAGAATTTTTTAGTTTGAAAGTCCTATTTTTCAGAGTAGATAGGAAAACCAGGCACTGACAAAATAAGGTAAACCAGGAGGTTTTCTGTAGAGTTATTGTGATGTATTTGCCTCTCTAAAAATAAAGTTTTGAGCTGATCTATAAAGTGTGACTTTTTTTTTTTTAATGCAATTTCCCGAAATTTTATGCAGACTGTTACGGGCAGAGGTTTCAAAAAACAGTTACTAGGAAAGAGTCTGTCTGCTTTGTGTAGGGCACGAATAAAATGCATCGGGTACGGGTTCCCAAAGCCAGGCGCGGGGCCCCTTTGCGGGAGCCCTTCCCGTCCCTCAGGGGCCGCGCTCAGGGACCGCCCGGCGCGAGGCCGCCCCGCGGCCGTTGGCGCTTTGTTTTCAAACCGCGGCCGGCGCCGGCGGGACTACATCCCCCAGCGTGCCCCGCGGTGCCGCCCTCCCGCCTGCGCACGCGCGGCAGTGCGAGCGTGCGCGCCGTGCGGGGGTGTCCACGGCGCTGCGTCAGGCCCCCCCCCGGGCCGGGACGTTGCTGTGGTAGCGCCCGGGCGCCATGTTAGAAGGCCGGAGGGGAAGAGGCGAGTGAAGCGGCGGCGGCGGCCGGGCCCGGCACAGCCGCTCCCTCCTCTCCCGGGGCCTGGCCCCGGCCCGTGCCATGGTCGCGGCTCCCGCCGCTCCGCGGGACGAGTGACCGGTCCTCAGGCGGCAGCGGTGGGGGAGGACGCAGAGGAAGAGGAGGAGGGAGAAGGGGACGACGCGGCGGCGGTGGTGGCGGCGGCGGCGGAGGAGGAGGAGGAGGGGCTGGAGAGACGATGCCGTTGTAAGTCGGGAGCTCGCGGGGCGCGCTCGGGGCCCGCGCTGTGCCGGCCCGGGCCCTCCCTGCCGGGCTCGGGCCCTTCCCCCCGCGCCGCTTCCGCTGCCGCAGTGTGCGGGCCTGGGGCCGCTGCGGCCGCGCCGGAGCGCCGCGCTCTCCCTCTCGCCCCCTCCGGCCCCCCCATGGCCGTGAGCCCCGGAGGACACGCCGATGTGGCTTTTGCGCTGTTGTTGTTGTCTCCTTCGCCGCGACCCCGCAGCGGCGGCGTGTGGGGCCGGGCGGCCGCGTGCGGCGCCCCCGCCCCCCCCGCCGGGTCAGGGCGCAAGGAGGGGCGAGACCGCGTGTTCGTCCCTTCCTCGCCCTGCCCGCCGGGGGTGAAGCGCTTTTTCTCCTGAGAACCCCGGCGAAGCCTCTTCCCCCGCGGCCGCGCGGGCGGTTTTTCCCCGCTCCGGGGGGCAGCAGAGCCCGAGCCGCGGGTTCCAGCGGGCGCCCCGAGCGCATCCGGCTGCCCTTGGAACCCCCCCCTCCCGGCGGGGCCGGGCAGCGCCCCCGGCCGGCAGCGCGGGCAGTGGGGCCGTGTGTCCCCCCCATCCCTGCCGGGAACCCGGGGGCTCGTGCTTTGGACCTGCCGTGCCGTGACCCTGCCCGCAGTCAGGAATGACCAAGTGTGGCATTATTCATTTCAGTTTGTTCGCAGATTTCTATCAATCCCATGCTCTGCGTTTTTTTTTTTCCTCTTCCTTTTTTTATTTAGCTTGCTGACGTTTTGATGACTCCTGTTTGAGACGACAAAACTTTCAGCTCCTCACTTCTCTAGTTCATAATCTTATTATTTTATTACTCTAAAAATCGAGGGAACCAGTGATGTGTAGGTGGACAAGTGACTTTTAAGAATAAAGCATATTTATATGCTAGGTTCAGTTGGTCTGTTTGTTTTTTATTGAAGGAAGAAAAGGGATTATTCAGTATTTTTTTCACTGTTATTGCTTGGGTTTATTCACTGTTGTTTTAAATATGTAAACTTTAGGTGAAGGATAGCCATGCTTGCCTGTTGTGGTTGTTTAATTCAGTCTGCAGTACTGCAAAGTTAGTCATGGGGTGGATAACACAGTAGAAACTTACCCGAAAGAGTTTGTGGCAGGGAAAACAAGGTGGGTGAATCCAGGAAGGCAAATGATTATGCCAAATGGGTTCTAATACTGGTATAATGAAGCTGCAACGTCCTTATACCTATCAGTTTTGCACATGTTCATTATAGCAATGAAAACTTACCAGAAATCAGCTTTGAAGTTGGCTAGGCTTTTCAGCCTCAGGAAAATGGGAGGGTGTTTATTCTGCTTGCTTTCATTCTTATTTTGTTGTGACTACATAAATTCCGAATGCTTAGTAACAACATTTAAAAGCTTGGGCTACTTGTATGAATTCTAGTAATAGCAATCTTCAACTTTGAAAAGTTTAGACTGACTTGATAATTTTTCCTGATGTAGGTGTTTATGATACTTTAACTAGAAACTCTTAAATAAGATTACATAGTTATATTTGCACCAATATATTGCTATTTTCAGTATAAGCATCACTTGGCAACTTAACTAGTACAGGAGGGTTATTGTAGTTAGCAGAAGTGAAGCTTTCTCAGTTTATGCATTTGTTCAGTCATTTATATGTTTGAAATTATTGACTTCGTGTCGGTCAGTCAGGACTTCAAAGCGAGCATTTTAATGCCAATAAATTGAAAGGCTAGTAATGTTGATTCCTCAGTTTATGAAGTGATACCACTGACTTAAGTTTAGAGGGGGGAAGAAAAAAGGCATCTCAGGAAGTTCCTTTTCTGTATAAGTCTTTCCAGTTGATGCTTTCATGCTTCTGGATGATAATCCTTTAGAGTGAGTGTGGAACAACCCTGTGTTCCTGCCCAACTTTCAAGATGACCAAATATCCTGACCCCCCCCGCAGCCTTTTCTGGTTGTGTTTTTTTTTGGCTGACCTTTAAATACATCCTTTAAACTTCATTTTCAGGGGTGGTGTTTGCAATTAACAGGCCTAGGCAGAACCGATTTCCCATACAACCAGAGATTGTTCTTATTCTTGACTTGAAAGTCCAGAGTTCCCCAAGGTTACAGCAGTGTTGATACCATGTGTGTATCTGTGCTTATTAGCAGTATGGTACAAAGCTATAAACCCCAAATTCTTTATGTACCTGGCACATCAGTAGTAAGAGAGCAAACTGGGGTTCTGCTGATGCTGATAGCAGGCATTTGCAGAAGCCTTTTAATGTTTAAAAAAATACTAAATTTATCCTAGAAACTTATGTGACTCTTTGTTACAATTGTCATGTGTGAAGAGGTAGCAGCTGCATAAGCAAAAAGTCTTTAACTTTCAGTTGTTAAAAAAAGCTGTTTAGAAACAAAAGGACTACTTCCACTGTCATAAAGATACATTTTAGCCAACAGTTAGGTACTGAATATTCCCGTGTGTTATCTGAAATGTAAGATTCTAGGCAAAAATGAAGCTCACTTGAGCTGTTCATATGTTTTGGTCGGGTCTGGAGTTTATGCAGAAAGATTACTGACTCAGTGGAGCTGCAGCTACGTTTGTATGAATGATGATGTAGTTTTCTTATGTAACCTGGGCCTTTCTGACCCTCCAAATAGAGAAAAAGCACCATGAATCTGTTTCTTGGTAAGCTACTGAACTTCTGTGTCTGCTGAAATCATTGCAAAACACTTTTGTTCTGTTTTTTTCTGTAACCAAAAGTGGCAAACTGCATTGGGTCATGTATCTGAACATTTAAAAGTGCTATAAGCACTCCAGATTTTAAGTATTTTTAGTATTGGTAACTTCTGTATTAGAGTTTTGGAATCTCATCAGTAATTATTCCTTCCAGTCTTTATTGTAGACAGTCGACCTTATTCTCACTTCTGAAGTAAGACTCTTTGTATTTTCTTTCACTGAACTTTGCTTTAGACATATACAAAGTCATTTTCTTGACTTCTAATTAGTGACTGTCACCTTGCATGCCAAAAGTACAGCACTATATTTACAATGGTTTGTGCTGGTTGGGAGTGGATAGTGTGTTTCTGAACAGAGAGCTCAGATTTTCATAGGCTGTTAGGAAGGGAATTAAATTGTTGTTAACATTGCAAAACATAGGACTAACTTTGGAAGAATAGTTACCTTAATATAAAGTGATAGCTTTCTTAATAGAGAAACAATTAATATAAAAATTATACTGAGGATTAATTTGTTAAATGCAGACGAGAAGAACTAGGTGGCAAGGATATGTGGGTTTGCAATAGCTTTCAGTCTTCTAAAAAAAGACTGAGTTTATACCTGTTGATATAGAGGTACTGCAGAGAACTTGGAACCCCAGTTATTTTGGGCAGAGCAGATTTCACCGCTGAGACAAATTAATCTCTCATGGTGAAACGCTTTGTGGTATCCTAGTTCTTGGTTTTATACTTCTTGTTATCGATTTCTTAAGCTGCTACCTTTTGAGTTTTTTGTCTCCAGAATAGGAAGAAAAATAATTTTGGTTCAAGTGCTGCCTGTACAGTTCAGTAGCACTTTGTTTTCTTAAAACTTGAGAAACTTCTCTTGAAATTGGCATTTGTAAGAGTGTTGTGGATGGGTTTGTGTTTAGACATGCTGCCTTCACTATTCCCTGCAAACAGAAGAGTCAGGGAGCTCAGGAGAGAGTCCAAGGTTAGCAGAATGTGTATGAATGATCTTCCTTTTGCCATAGGTGAGTCTCTTTTGTAGATTAGTTGCCTGTTGTTGCTCCAATACCTGTATTCAAATCAGTTTTGTGTGTCTTGAACATCTCATACTGACGGTTGAAAACTTAATTCATGGTCTAAATGTTCCAGTGGCCTTCTGCTAGATATTAAAACTTTAATTTGGGAGGGACAGCTGGATTGCCTTAACCACTTAAAATATATATTCCCCAGTACCTGATTTGTACAGACTTCACTAAGGTTTCCTGCCTAGATTTTTGAAACTCTGGGTAGAGTGGTGGTGTGAGCATTAAACTAGAAATTTCAGTCTGAAATTGCCACTCAGTTGTTGTTGGAGGAAACTTTAAAAGAAGCAAACAAACCCCTTCAACAGACTTTATCTGAAATTGGACACAGTGGAGCTTGAGCCCTGTGAATTTAGTTACAGCTGATTAACCAGATGGTGTGATGACCAGTATTGCTTTGAGAATCTGACTTTGGTGTCTTACATCAGTACATAAGAAGGAATAAATTTTACTGAGGTAATCAGTAGAGGCAAATAAAGAAGCGAGGATAGTCACTGAGATTCCTTAAATTGTGT